GAACCGACGGAGCCGGAGGAACCGGTCTACTCCCACCTCTAGATGCGCCAGCCCTGCTAGAAGAAGGGATGTCTGTAGCTCGAGCCTGAGCCTGATCCAAAACGTGCGTCACTGGATTCCAGAACCTTGCCGCGGCATGGAGAAAAGGGAGATGTAGCGGAGTACGGCTCAGCGTGAATAGTGCATTCAAGCCGAAACCCCGGAAATTCAGCTTTTCCGAGCCATCTAGAGAAGAGATCCAAGATGTGACATTTTCTGCGAGAAACGCCTCCATCTTTGTCTAAAACTAAGATGAAATGAATGTTCCCGAAGTTGAGGCTTTTATAGAAGGAAAAACACTATTCACGGGGACACGTGTCAAAAATCTGGTGACTGCAGGACCGAATGGCCGGCCAGCTACTTTTTCTGGCTGGCCAGCTATTTACTTTCTGCAGAAATGGCTGGCCAGCCATTCACTTTTTGCAAAAATGGCCGGCCAACTCCCGGGGGTGGCTGGCAATGTTGCAGTGTGTCTCCTCGGCCCTGTTTTACTCTTCGAAGGAGAACTCCAAGCATTTCCATGCAACAGGAGAGTCGAAGGCCTTCATTCCGGATGCGTTCCGATGCCCAGATCGTCAGAAGTACACTTTGTTGTTGTTGAGTTTTGCTTATCGAGTTGTTGCATTTTGCTTATCGAGTTGTTCGTCGAGCGGACGTGTTTTGTATTTGAGTCACTACTCTCTGTTTAAGCAATTTTTGTTAAAGTCTTGTTTATTTGCGTTATTGCTTTTTGCTTATCGAGTTGTAAACTTACTAAAGATTCTGTTATATCTTAGTAGGTTGAGTTGTTTAGTTTGTTGCGTCGGTTCACTACCTGACTTGGTGATTACACAACGTACATTTCCATTCAAATTCATTTTTGTGCGAAATAAATGATGCGATACGATGCTAAAAGTTCAAATACAAACACCTTTCCAAAAGCTATTTCATTTCATCATGCTCTACAACAAATAAAGGTACAAGTTTTACAAAAATAAAACTGCCTAACAATGTGCAAAATGCTACAAACTACTAGTAAAAGAAAAATAAAGCGGGAAATAGCAACATCAAAGTCCTCGGGAGCGGGAATGAGAAGCACGCCTCGTCCTCTTTTGCGGGACGACCTCCACACCATCATCTGAGTCGGAACTGTCATCCTCAGGATCCTCCTCAGCCTCGCCTCTGTTCCCCGAGCCAAAACCGGAGCCTCCCTCCTCAACAGATGTCTCGAACTGACGGTCGGTAGCCTCCTCCTCCTCCTCCTCCTCCTCATCAGGCTCCACCTCCACAACATGAGCCCTGCGTCTGCGGACAGGCCCCCCTCGAGCTCCTCGGTAAGGCCTAGATGGCCCGGCTCCTCGGGAAGGCCGAGATGACCCCGCCCCCTGAAAAGGCTCAGACGGCCCAACTCCCCAATGAGGCCCAGGTGGCCTGGTCTGTGGCTGACCGGACCAAGAAGGCATCTGAAAACAAGGGGTTCAAATCAAATACATCAGTCCAAATATGTACATCAGATGCAGATACAAGCAAAGGCTACATGAAGTGGGTGCATGTAAATACAGTGTACAAGTGGGGTGTGTGTCAGATGTGTTCTACACAAGTAGTCTATCGATGCAGTGGAAATCAGCATGTCATCAGAAGTATGATAAATGCCAGAAAACTGAAGGGTACCTGAATGCCCGCGACAGACAACTGTGCCTCCCTGCGTAGGACCATGCCCTCGAGTGTGGCCACCAGCCCAACCATCTCCTCCATGTACCCTCGCGATGGCTGCAAAAATGAGCTCATAATCATTAGTGAACAGAAAAGTGTCTAAATATCTGAATGATAAATGAAAAAGTGGAGCATACCGGCGGTGAGTCCGGATCAATGGCGTATCGATCACTGGGCATCGGAGGCTCTAGTGGGATCGGGGTCGGAGAGCTAGCCCCATACTGCCACGCCATCAACTCAGTAGGCATATCTGGCCATCCCAGATGAGGATGAATCGACGGAGTCGGAGGAAATGGTCTACTCCCACCTCTAGATGCGCCAGCCCTGCTAGAAGAAGAGATGTCTGTAGCTCGAGCCTGAGCCTGGTCCGAGGATGACATACCGGCAGGTCTCATCATCGGAATACGAGCTTCCGTCAAAGGAGGCATCAAATATATGTGACGGTAGGTGGCGGAGTCCCCCTCCGCAACATATAACAAAGCATCACTGCCCAACATGGCGCCGACTACCTCTGAGTAGGAGAGCCTGTCAGCAGTCCGCATACTGGCTGG